AAGCAACAAAAGATCTCAACAAAGAATTAACTTTCTGACTGAGTTCCAGACGGAATCTTTCCGTGCAACAAACGATTTGGTGAGTTTTGTGTGATATATCGCCCAGCCCTACTCTTAAAACTAACTGCTGGACCGCTGGAGATATATTTGGCAGCAGCAACTACTAGAAAATCTACCAAGAGAACCAGCCCCTAGAGGCTGGCTTCTGGTGTAATTGTGACAGCCAGTTAGGGGAACTGACTGGCAGAAACATTTACATTTGCATTTATTCATTTAGCTCAGGGGTGTAGAATTTAGAAGGGACACTAGAGACGTGTCCCTACCAATATCCAGTGACACTGATAGATCCCTAGCAATAATTTCCATCAAAACTTAAAATATATTTATAAATTGATTAGGGCTGGGCAAAAAATAGATTTTTCTATTAATCATTTTTTAAAACGTGGTTGGTGCAAAATCTATTCTCAACGGCCACAAACGATTTTTTTCCATATCAAGGGCTCGCAATGCTTTGTCCTCTCTCTCTGCATTAGGCAAGCGATAAGCGCAGCAGGTGTCGATATACATTCGCGTTCAAGAGTCGGGACATGAGGGAATATTCACTTGCACAATCAGGCAAAACTAACGTTTATCATTTTCACATGTTTTTAAGTTTTACCAGTTTAAACATTCAAGCAACAACCATCCCGTGCTCGCGCACACTCAGAGATGTCTTTCACTGCGTGCACTTTAATCCGCCTCACAAACAAAGTTTTCGCCAGACACAAAAGTTTTATCCTTGTATTATATCGCTTTAACAGTTAAAAACACACAAAATTAATGTCAAAACTCTGGTCTTGGTGAGTAACCTCGTAAAGACAGTTGGTTGTGACTTAAATTAGCATTAAACGCATGTGACAGACAGACACTATAATGAGACAGTAACGGATCCGTGCCATAGTTCTTAAAGTGAACGCAGCCATGTCTTCATTAATTCTGTTGTCATAACAACATAATATAGCATTAATTGTAAGCAATCACAATTAATAGCCTATGTATTTAATTCAGTCTGGACTAAAAAGACTATCCAGTGTTATTTTACATTGGATTACTTTATTCAGTTTCTGTGGTATTTCTGACATACCACAAAAAAACTACCCCAAAATGTCTCTTTATTTGTGTCTTTATTCTATTCTATTTATTTGTGCTATTTTATTTGTGCTTTGTATATATTTGTGCTTTTTCAATTTAATTCAAAGATTGAAATCAAGCTTGTTGCATAAACTCTTAACAAAAAATTACATAAACATTTAGGTAAGATCAATGTAATAAAAAATGTCTTAATATTTATTTATCTATATCTATCTGAAACATAAAATAACCTGATCCTGTTTGATCAAGCTGTGCGACTGTTCTGTCTTTTTTGCATCTTGCATCAAAATCCTGTCTGTTCATTGTATGCATTTAGTGTAGTGTACCTAAATAAAAAGAGTTTTATATACAGGTTTGTAGCTCTTAATTTCTTTGTATTAATTAACCACTAGTAAACTTATGTCCACTGTTCTTTTTTTATATAAATATTGGATTTGTATTACATCTATATTCATTATAGTCGAATCGAGAATCAAATCAGGAATAGAGAATCGGAATCGAATCGAGAATCGCAATCGATTGGTTGGGGCTCCCTTCAACAGTCTGACGCCAGTGGCGCCAAGACCTTTATTTTTAGCCAAAGCCTTCTCAGTGTGAAGAACGGTCCTCGGATCCGGCTTCTGCTTTGAAGACTTTGGCTGCTGTGTTGCGTAAGAGAAACTAGATGCCTAGAGCTGCTCACACCCAGCAGCCCCAGGGGGTTAGACATAGCGAGGAAGATATTGTCATGGTTCTGTCACTTTTGTTACTAGTTCTGTGTGATGACAGAGCTGTGACATTACCTGTCTGTCTCGTGTTTATGTTAGTCTAGTTTCATGTGAGCACATGGCTGCTGATTATTCCTGTGCCATGTGCTTTGTCTAACTGTTAGCTCCTCCCTTCTTGTTATCTGTTGAGTATTAACATTCCTCACCTGTTGTCTCATTACCCTGCTGTGTGTGTTTCCTTTATAGCCTCCTTTGTGTTTTCAGTCCAGTGCTGGTTCGTTTGTCTAAGTTCATGTTTCTGATTCCTAGTGGTTTTCCTTGTTAGTATTTGTTCTGGTTTTCCCCCACGTGGGAGTTTTGTTTGTACTTTGTATTTTGTTTGTTTGGTTAATTAAAACTGCACCTTTGTTTTCCTGCAATTGAGTCCTCACTTATGTTTCCTGACTATTCCGTGACAGAATGAACCAGCCCAAGAATGAGGACTCAGCGGAAAACGTCATACCAGTCATCAGGCCCAACGATTACTTGCCCTCAATATGAACGGGTTATGAAATTCAATGCGTTGGTTTCTCTCCATCAGGATGGTATGAATATCCGAGACTTTGCCCTAAGATTCAGCTCAGCGGCTGAGGGACTGAGCCTGGGGAAGATGGCCCTCAAGGACCTGTTTAATTTTGCACTTGACAAACCACTCAGTGCAGTGGAGATGGGGGTACTGAAAGAGTTCGACTTCTGGGGTTTCATCAATGCTCTGGATCCCGAGAGGAAACTTCCAGAGTGGCCAGTCATTGAATTCCCAGAAGCAGGGTTGCCTGCACTGTCTCGTACTGATCAACGCAGGAGGAAGAAAACCCCGGTGGTCCTGGAGGTTTCGACTTCGACGGTACCAACCCCGGTGGTCCTGGATGATCCTACTTCAAGGGTTCCAGAGGGCTTTACTCTCCCTGCTAAGACCTCAGGGGTTGTAGAGCAGCTGGTAGAGATTACCCGCTCACGAAAGCGAAGGAAGAAGAAAGTTCCCGTCACGTCTGAGGATTCAGAGACCGTTCCCGTCACGTCTGAGGATTCAGAGACCGTTCCCGTCACGTCTGAGGATTCAGAGACTGTTCCCATCACGTATGAGGATGCAAAGGCTGTTCCCGTTACGGCTGAGGATGCAGAGACTGTTCCTGTCACATCTGATGAGCTAGAAACCGTTCATGTCAGGTCTGCTGATACAGAGACTGTTCAGGTCACAGCTGCCGATCTAGAGACCGTTCCTGTCATACCTGCTGATAGAGAGACTGTTCATGCTATGTCTACTGATTCGGAGACTGTTCTTGGGCCGTCCGAGAGGGTTTCTTCAAAAGGGTTGCCCAAACAGCTTGTTCCGCCCTGGTCATCTGCACAATCTGCTCCGCCTTGGTCGTCTGCGCAATCTGCTCCCCCTTGGTCATCTGCACAATCTGCTCCGCCTTGGTCATCTGCACAATCTGCTCCCCCTTGGTCGTCTGCGCAATCTGCTCCCCCTTGGTCGTCTGCACAGCCTGTTTCGCCGGGGTCGTCTGTGGAATCTGCTCCGCCTTCATCGTCTGCACAGCCTGCTTCGCCCGGGTCGCCTATGCAATCTGCTCCACCTTGGTCGTCTGTGCAATCTGCTCCGCCTTGGTCATCTGCACAGCCTGTTTCGCCGGGGTCGTCTGTGCAATCTGCTCCGCCTTGGTCGTCTACACAGCCTGTTTTGCCGGGGTCGTCTGTGGAATCTGCTCCGCCTTCATCGTCTGCACAGCCTGCTTCGCCCGGGTCGCCTGTGCAATCTGCTCCGCCTTGGTCGTCTGCACAGCCTGCTTCGCCCTGGTCATCTGCACAACCAGGGTCACCTTGGTCGTCTACATGGCCTGCTTCACTCTGGCCGCCTGCACGACCTGTTCCGCCCTGGCCGCTTACACAGCCTGCTTCGCCCTGTAGGCCTGCACTACTTGGTTTAACCCTCCCATCCCTCCCTGGCCTGCTTGGACTTTTTACCGCTATGCAGTTATGGACTGGTTTGGGTTCCCTCCCTGTTTTTGTGTTTCTGATGATGTTGTCTGGTCTGTTTATTTTCTTGTGTGTTTTTGGCTTTGTATGATGTCCCTGATTTGGGGACGCCAGGTGGCGTCCCCTTTGAGGTGGGGTAATGTCATGGTTCTGTCACTTTTGTTACTAGTTCTGTGTGATGACAGAGCTGTGACATTACCTGTCTGTCTCGTGTTTATGTTAGTCTAGTTTCATGTGAGCACATGGCTGCTGATTATTCCTGTGCCATGTGCTTTGTCTAACTGTTAGCTCCTCCCTTCTTGTTATCTGTTGAGTATTAACATTCCTCACCTGTTGTCTCATTACCCTGCTGTGTGTGTTTCCTTTATAGCCTCCTTTGTGTTTTCAGTCCAGTGCTGGTTCGTTTGTCTAAGTTCATGTTTCTGATTCCTAGTGGTTTTCCTTGTTAGTATTTGTTCTGGTTTTCCCCCACGTGGGAGTTTTGTTTGTACTTTGTATTTTGTTTGTTTGGTTAATTAAAACTGCACCTTTGTTTTCCTGCAATTGAGTCCTCACTTATGTTTCCTGACTATTCCGTGACAGATATTCTCTTGCATCTTTCTCCATGATTTCCATCAAATTGAGCCAGAGGTGTCTCTTAGTGACCACAAGGGCTGCCATAGACCGCCCATTTACTTGTGCGACCGTGTTAAAGTGTTCAAATTTGAGTGTTAAATTAACACTGAAGAGTGTTAACGTTAATGTGCTATTTAAGTTATAGATTGAGCAATGATTGACCATTATTGAAGACACCTGATGATAACAAGCAGAATCACTGAAGTCACCATTATCGAGATCAGTGTTTGGTTTAGTTGGGCAGTTGACCTTTACTCATTAACTTTAGATTCGGGATGCTATTTTATCACTTCCTGGTCATGACGTCACCTGCCCGTGTTGTTCATTCCTTCCATTAGACTACTTGACATAGATGCTTCATGAAGCATTCACGCTGGGAGCGTTCACAAAGTACCGTTGATGCATCGTGAATTCCCTCGAAAGGAAACTTTTAAACCAGACTGGGATAATGAACTACTGTTTTCTTCATGAGGAAAACTATATTGATGGGTTTCTTTTAAACGGCCAGACTGAGTCCAGAATCATCCTCACCTGTAGATGTTGAACTGGTAGATGTTGTAGAAGTGTCCGGCTGTAAAGAAACTGAAACAATAATGCATGATAAATCAGGCTAGTATGCTGAATTACTGTGTTTTTTAAGAAGACACTAATTAAGCAGGATAGTCTTTGATAGTCTTTTGATAGTCACATTTAGCCCAGAAACATGCTCACCATCAGTAGTGGGACTGGTAGATGTAGAGGAAGTAACTGACAGTAAATGATCTGTAACATTAACAAGATGAAAAGAGATGCTAAGTCAGAATTAGATGATGTGCTGTGTTCTTATTAACACATTATGGAAGGTTACATTTCAATACAGTGCAGTCTAACACAATCCTCACCTGTAGAAGTAGAACTGGTAGATGGTGTGGAAGTGACTGGCAGTAAAGAAACTGAAACAATAAACAGGTGAAGCAGACTCAGATGATGAATTAAAGGGATACTTCAGTATTTAGCATCAAGCTTTGTATCAGTAGAAAACCTGACGTATTTCCGAATTACCGTGCGAAAAATCATCATTTTTGCGATTTAGGATTTAGCATTAAGCTTTGTATCAGTAGAAAATCAGTCGTATTTTTGAATTACCATCGGAAAATCATCATTTTGCGCCATCGGAAGATTTTTGGGCCAAAGGCTAAAGACTACAGCCTGTGTTCTGCATGTTTTCACCACGCCCATATGGGGCGGGATCTCACTCACAGAATGTAAAGATCATGTCAGCCATCTTTCTGTAGAAGCTAAGCTAACGGGCTCTTGCCTCTTGGTCTGTGTAGAAAGTTTGTATAGTAGGTTAATCACGATGGTGGAAGGTAGTTTTGAAGTTGAAATGGCAGAAGTGGATTTCGAAGATCTGTTGCGAGAATCTGATGCTCGCGGCTACCTGTACGAGCCAGTTGCGGGAGATGGAGGAACAAGAGACGGCCGGAGCGAGACAGACTCGTGCTGGGGTGGGTGAGAACCTGATGTTCGCGGCTACCTGCACAAGCCGCAATACAACGATAAACAGGTGTGGGAGATAGAGGAACAACAATATACATTAGGCTAGTACTGTCACGTGTGGGTTTTGTATCTTGTTCTTGTGTGTCATGTGTTCCCCTGTCTTTCCATGTCAGCTGTTCCCCATTTTGTTGATTAGTCTCCCCAAGTGTTTCCGATTAGCCACGCCCCCTTGTTACCTTGTTTAGTTTGTCTGTCTGTGTATTTATACCTCTGTTCCCCAGTCTTTGTTTGTCGGTCGTTGTTTCGTGTAGTGGTTTCTTGCTCCTGCTTTGAGTTCTGTTTCCTTAGTTCTGTTTTTTGAGTTCATGTTCTGTTAGTTTGCCTTGGATTATATGTTTGTCTATTTAATTAAAGTGCTTGCTTTTGGATTCTCTCCACTTCACTCCTCCTTCAGTGTAACAGAACGACTGACCAAATATGAATCCAGCAGCACGGATCTCGTCTGATCTACACAGCCTAGACCGGGAGTTCGCTGGACAGATTGCCCTGGAAAGCCTTGATCTATTCCAGTATACGTGGGGGTAGGGTTGGCTATCGAGAATCGAGTATCGATTGGAATCGGGACTAACTTTTCGTTTTCCCCGGAATCGTTCAAAAGTTAAAATTTCGATTCCTAGTTTCGATATTCACAGTCCGCCGAGCGGAAGAAGAAACCGCTGAACAACACCAACGAAGAAGCGTCTACTGGAAGTGTTGGCATAACCGCGCGAGTCGAACATGAGTAGCTTACGTCGGCAGTCCAAAGTGTGGCTTCACTTTTCTAAAAATAACGAAATCTCGGCAAAATGCAAAATTTGTGACAAAAGGAGTATTTGTGACAGAATGAGTATTTCCTTCAGAAAGACCGTTGGTTAGCAAGGTTAGCTAAACTTTTTTAACCCTGCCTCTTAAAAGAATCGGAATCGAGAATCGTTAGGAACCGGAATCGAAACAAAGAATCGGAATCAGAATCAGATTCAAACGATACCCAACCCTATGTGGGGGTTTGTTCCTCTTGCTGCCTCCTGCTCCCTGGATGACGAGTCAATTAAATTATGTTACCGGCTGGGGGCTGAGGAGGTCAACCCGAGGGAACTCCCTGATCTCTCCGGCCTGGGTTGGAGAGAGGCGCTCTCTAGATGTCTGGAGAGCTTCATCCCGTGTCACACCATGCCTTCACCGGTGGTCCCGAGTCCGGTGGTCCGGAGAAGGAGGAGGAGAAGAATGAACAGCCAGAGACCGTCCAGCCAGAGACCGTCTAGCCAGAGACGCTTCACGTCACTTCTGCCAAGCCAGAGACACTTCACGTCACTTCTGCCAAGCCAGAGACGCTTCACGTCACTTCCTCCGAGCCAGTGTCTACGGACAAGATGGCCGAACCAGAGACGCTTCACGTCACTTCCTCCGAGTCAGTGTCTACGGACAAGATGGCTGAACCAGAGACTGTACACGTCACTTCCTCCGAGCCAGTGTCTATGGACAAGATGGCCGAACCAGAGACTGTTCACGTCACTTCCGCCCGAAGGTCTTCACCGCCTTGGCTACCTGCTCATCCTGCTCCGCCCTGGTCCCCTGAGGGTTCGCCTCCACCCTGGTCACCCGAGGGGTCTTCTCCGCCCTGGCTGCCTGCGCGCCCCTTTGTAACCTTGTTTAGCTTGTCTGTCTGTGTATTTATACCTCTGGTCCCCAGTCTTTGTTTGTCGGTCTTTGATTCGTGTAGTGGTTTCTTGCTCCTGCTTTGAGCTCTGTTTCCTTAGTTCTGTTTTCTCAGTTCATGTTCTGTTAGTTTGCCTTGGATTATCTGTTTGTCTATTTAAATAAAGTGCTTGCTTTTGGATTCTCTCCACTTCACTCCTCCTTCAGTGTAACAAGTACATCCCGGTACAATGCAATTTAGCACCATTTCGATGGAAATGTATCAAATAACTCATGATGTATCAAAGCATCCAAGTTGTATCCATTTTTTGGATTCTGCCACCTGTAACCGGTAGGCGTGGTTTGGGAGTGGCCTCGTAAGGGCAGCAAAGCAAGTGCATTTTGGGAGTTGTCTTTCAGCCACATGAGTAAAAAATACATTTTCTGCCTTTTCTCAGTCTAGAATGTTTCAATTTCAAAAATAATTTCACATTTCTTCTATATTAACGACCAATATTAAATACACATTCATCTTCCCAGAGGTGAAGTATGTTTTTTGTTTGTTTGTTTGTTTTTCCCAAGAAGACACTAATTATGCAGGAGGATCTTTTGAAAGTCACTTTCAGAAACATGCTCACCTTCAGTAGTGGGACTGGTAGATGTTGTGGAAGTGACTGACAGTAAATTATCTGTAACATTAACCAGGTGAAAAGAGATGCCATGTCAAATTTAGATGAAGTGCTGAGTTCTTCATGAAGACATTAATTATAGAGGACATTTCAATATACAGTATACAGTCCAGTGTAACATCATCCTCACCTGTAGATGTAGAACTGGTAGGTGTTGTGGAAGTGACCGGCTGAAAAGGAACTGAAACAATAACAGATTGAAACACGTTTCCATCAGTTCATCCCCAGCTAACAGAATTGTGTTATAAGAACGTTCTCTAAATATTAAGTGTTGTTTCTGGGAACGTGAAAAAATGTCCAGTTTTCTTCTTGTTAGAGGAACATGTTTTAAAAGGTATAATGTTCCTTAAATGATTTTTAAATGTAATTTTGGATTTTGATAAATTCCAAGAGCATAAAAATGTTACTACACAGCAAAAACTCAAGAGTGTTAAAGACTCAATAGTGTAAAAGAGTTTAAGGACAAGTTCGGTATTTTAGAATTAAAGCCCTGTTTTAAGATCGTCCCTGATGAAATAGAATGGTTAAGATTGTTTTTTAGACAGATGCTCCTGTCACAAGAATTTTTGGATTCTGTGTTAGCACCCCCCGTATATAAAGTTATTGTCTTTCAAAAGTGAGTCGACTCTGAGTCTATGAAATGAATTGTTTTTGAAATGAGTCATTAGCTGTTTCGTCGTGACGTAGATACAAAAAATTAGTTCATTGGCCGCTCCCATCAACTCCAAGCGCGACGGAAGTGTAAACTTGAAGTCTAGTCTAGAACACATTCAAAAACTTCAGCTGAATAGTGTCATGTCGAGAAGACGCTGTGTTCTACATCGCAAACACAATTCAGCCACTTGTTTTCATTGCCCAGGGACGAGCATGTGAAGAATCAGTGGTTAGAGTTCATATTTGCAACGATACCACAACATTATAGCCCGAACCTTGTGTTCTCATCATTTTAATGATGAATCATTCAAAAACATAATGAATTCAAATGTGGATTCGCAAGCCGGTTGTTCCCGAAGGAGGGCTCAGTATCCAGTGTATATGGATCAGGTTTGTCCTCCTCCGAATTACAATCTGTAAGTTTTATTAATAATGTTTGCTGTTATGTTTTCTGTAGCATGCATAGTTATATTGTGTTGTGTGTGTTGTGTACACTCCGCGCAGCTTCTAAGTGGGGTAAAGTTAGTTTTGTTTTTGATATTCACCAGACATTCATTGAAAAATGGCAAATACCTCCTAAACGAATTAGCCAAATATGACTTCGCTCAATATAATAAGCACTGTCCCTCAAAAGCCGCCGCAATGCGAGTTTCGCCGGGAAAGCTCGCTCTTGACAGAGACGCGAGTAAGGGACCGTGTGGAAAGTGCACTTTTTCTGACACGTTTGTTCAAACACTATATACAATTTTCAACACTTGACAAGCTATAATGCTGGTTATGGGCGTTCCATTGCCGACAATCGCTGCCTACGGTTTACCAATAACAACTGACTGGGTCATTTGACCAATCACCTCCGTCACTCAAAGGAGGTGTTTGGGAAAATGAATCGTTGAACGAATCATTTGGGAGTCGTTGGGCAAATCGGGTAAAAATAAATGCATATTATAAGACAAATAAATTGTTTTTTATCCTTGCATGCACGTTAAACTGTTTTTGGGAACTCCCAAAACAAAAATAGGAACATTTCAAATGCTATGATAGGGGCTCTTTAAACCAGACTGGAATAATTAACTACTGTGTTCTTAATGAAGAAAACCATGTTAATGGGTTTATTTTAAATGGCCAGATTGAGTCCAGAATCATCCTCACCTGTAGATGTTGAACTGGTAGATGTTGTGGAAGTGTCCGGCTGTAAAGGAACTGAAACAATAATGCATGATAAATCAGACTAGTATGCTGAATTACTGTGTTTTTCAAGAAAACACTAATTATAAAGGAAGATCTTTTAAAAGTCACATTTAGCCCAGAAACATGCTTACCTTCAGTAGTGGGACTGGTAGATGTAGAGGAAGTGGCTGACAGTAAATGATCTGTAACATTAACAAGATGAAAAGAGATGCTAAGTCAGAATTAGATGATGTGCTGTGTTCTTATTAAGACATTATGGAAGGTTGCATTTCAATACAGTGCAGTCTAACATCATCCTCACCTGTAGAAGTAGAACTGCTAGAAGGTGTGGAAGTGACCGGCAGTAAAGAAACTGAAAAAAATAAACAGATGATAAAGCGTGATGAATTAATGTTTTTTTTTTTTTTTCAAGAAGACACTAATTATGAAGGAGGATCTCTTGAAAGTCACTTTCAGCCCAGAAACATGCTCACCTTCAGTAGTGGGACTGGTAGATGTTGTAGAAGTGACTGAGAGTAAATGATCTGTAACATTAACCAGATGAAAAGAGATGCCATGTCAAATTTCATGAAGGCATTATTAATTATGGAGGGCATTTCAATATATACAGTCCAGTGTAACATCATCCTCACCTGCAGATGTAGAACTGGTAGATGTTGTAGAAGTGACCGGCTGAAAAGGAACTGAAACAATAACAGATTGAAACACATGTCTCCATCAGCTCATCCCCAGCTAACAGAATTGTGTTATAAGAACGTTCTCCAAATATTCCAACACAGTCTCATGAAAGTGCGTATCTATACCACGATTGTCATTTCTCGTGGCATTTATACGGCAAAATTGGTTTTAGCGTACATATGCTACGCACTGAAAACCCCTGAGTAGGTTTAGGGGGAAGGGGGGTGGGAAGTTCGTACTTATTATACGCCAAAAAGTGTGTATCATATGCATGCGAAAAACACGTACCATATACACACAAAAACTAGTTTTGGTGTATAAATGGGACGCGAAATGACATTCGTGCTATAGATACGAACTTTCACGAGATCGGGCTCAATATTCATTGTTGGTTCTGTGAATGTGAAAAATGAACTAATGAGGAAAACCATATTGATGGATTTCTTTTAAATGGCCAGATTGAGCCCTGAATCATCCTCACCTGTAGATGTTGAACTGGTAGATGTTGTAGAAGTGTCTGGCTGTAAAGAAACTGAAACAATAACACATGATAAATCAGACTAGTATGCTGAATTACTGTGTTTTTCAATAAGATACTAATTATGCAGGAGGCTCTTTTAAAGTCACATTTAGCCCAGAAACATGCTCACCTTCAGTAGTGGGACTGGTAGATGTAGAGGAAGTGACTGACAGTAAATGATCTGTAACATTAACAAGATGAAAAGAGATGCTAAGTCAAAATTAGATGATGTGCTGTGTTCTAGTTAAGGAATTATGGAGGGTTGCAGTTCAATACAGTCCAGTCTAACACAATCCTCACCTGTAGAAGTAGAACTGGTAGATGGTGTGGAAGTGACCGGTAGTAAAGAAACTGAAACAATAACCAGATGATAAAGCAGACTCAGATGATGAATTAATGTTTTTTTTTCAAGAAGACACTAATTATGCAGGAGGATCTTTGGAAAGTCACATTCAGCCCAGAAACATGCTCACCTTCAGTAGTGGGACTTGTAGATGTTGTGGAAGTGACTGATAGTAAATGTTCTGTAACATTAACAAGATGAAAGGAGATCCCATGTCAAATTTAGATGAAGTGCTGAGTTCTTCATGAAGACATTAATTACATAGGGCATTTCAATATACACAGTCCAGTGTAACATCATCCTCACCCGTAGAAGCAGAACTGGTAGATGTTGTGGAAGTGACCGGCTGAAAAGTAACTGAAACAATAACAGATTGAAACACATGTTTTCATCAGCTCATCTTTATCTATAGACACACAAACACACCAGTTCAACTCTGTGGTCCACAATCATTCAGATAAAATGCAATCCAAAAGAGGAAACATCAGACTACATTACCAGCTGAGGTATTCTGTGGTGTGACTGTTGTGTCAGTGCTGCTGATGTTATTAACAGCTGAAAAAAATAATGACATATGAATACCAATGAATCAACAAACATCCAATTAAAATAGCTAATGTAGATATAATAAACAGTGAGTTATTACTAAATTACATTTATTGGATGCTTTCAGTGCCATTTTCTTCTCTTTAGATGCACCAGTTGAGATCTGCATTCTCATGGATTATTTTCTTGTGATTCTCAAAATGTATCATTCAGACTGGTGAATCCCCAAAGGCTGCATTTACACTGCAGGTCTTGATGCCCAAATCCGATTTTCTGACTATATCCGATTTTTTGACGACCTGCTTACTTCATCTTTTAAAAGTGACCTATATCCGATTTTTGCATTTGAAATGTCTTCTGTAACAACCCTGCATTTTTGCCTGCACTCTTCACCCCAAACACTCAAAAGACCTCCGCATTGCTCCACTGTGTGTATCCTTTCTTCCATCGCGCCCATAATCGCACACTTTTTAATGACGCATGACTCGCATTTACTGGGGAATATCCGATTTGTCTGCTTACATGGCACACGCAAATGCACGTATCCGATTCATATCCGATTTATTACAACATATGAATGAGGCCTGAATCCGATCTGAGAAAATCGGAATCCATGCGTTTTTTTTCCTGCTTACACGTTCACCGGTCATATCCGATCTGTGGCACATGAGAGGAAAAAAAATCGGATTTGGGTCACTTGAACCATGCAATGTAAACAAGGCCAAAGTAACGCAATAACATGCAAGTAGCACTCCAGACTCTTAACTGAACTTTGCATTGATATAAAATTGAACAATCCGCCAAAGTAACGATAGAAGGTTTAAATTAATGATTGATGGTTGTTACGTTCCACGTGTGTGTGTGGCGTTTTGTTATTCTGTGTATATTGATGTGTTTATCACCTGTTAGTCGTTATGCTGCTCATTACTCTCTCTCTGTCTCTATCGCCTGATCTCTGCCTATAGGTTGCTGGGATTGGCCGAGTCGGACGCCATTCATCCGTAAGGCGGGGCTTGGTGACTAATTGGAGATCGTCCCAGCTGGTTAAAAGGATGTTGCGTTCATTGTCCCAGTGTCTCTCCTTTGTTGTAGCTTATGGTAGAAAACTCTGTTCTCTCTTTGTAAAGTGATTTGAGGTCACTAGCGGAATGAGAGTTGCATTATGTGCTTTATGCGACATGTTTATCTATTTTTGAATGGGTGATATTCATTCGTGTTGTTAGCTTTTGTTTGCTTTTCGGGGAAAAGAACATAGGCAAGTATATCGCGATATACATTGTACCCGTAGCAGATAATTGTTAGAAACACCAGGTAAGAAGTGAGCGCCACCCGTTGTATTTTTGTTTTATTAGATAGTGAGTTAGGGTGCCGGATGCACCGAAGATTTCGGTTTATTTTCTACATTTTTCTTTGGTTAGATTAGGTTAGATGTAAGGAGTGTTTTGTTATCTTGTGTTCTTTCTTTTGGCGCCACTTTTGTTCTTTTCCTTTTTATTGTTTGTTGGTTTTATTCACCCTATCATTTATTGTATGTGGCACTTATTGTTATTATGATTATTATTGACTGGACTCAATGGCTTCGGCTTACAGAAATAAATTCCAGTTATTTTTTCTCTTCAAAATGAGTCTGACATGTGTTTGTCCACCACACTCCACTTTCAGCAGTATGTTCAATATATAAATGTTGCGGTACCAACCCTAGACCCACAACGGTTCGTAACAATGGTTCGTTCAGGTCATGTCTTATAAGTGTATAGAAACTTGAGATTTCACCATCTCACTCTTAAAACAATTTTTTTTCTCACTCTCTTTCTTTCTACAACTCGTATGAATGTGTGTGTGTGTGTGTGTGATTGTGTTAGATATTAGTTTTATGTGTTAGAATAATCAAAGTCTTGTTTATATTTCAAACAGAATTGTTCTTGTGTTGTTTGCTTACATATTTAATGTCTTAAACTGATTATCTAGGTTACCCTGCTAATAAATAGTGTTTCACTGTAGTTTGGATATTTATATCCGCTGCAGAGATTATAGTTACGGCCCTTTCAAATGAACGCTGGAGGAGTCATTTACTCGGCCGTATAAGTGATTCTGTTAAGATTCACTAACTTTAGCTCTTTTGTGGCAGTATAGCAGCTGCATGAGCGGGCGACAGAACGTCTCAGACCACTCCAAGAAAAGTGATCATCTGTACTGGAGAAAGTACATTCTTCTTGGCATTAAGCCATAACCCCAACCCTAAAATGCTAGGACGACATCTCGATGCCGAACTGCTAACTGTTCTGATTCCCCTAGAATCAACCAGTTTTTCATGCAATTCGGGGCCAGAGCTGCATCTATGCGCTTTGTGAATGTGTGGGGTGATATGGTTAGACCGAAAGGAAGTGCCTGAAACTGGTGTGCTTTGCCCCTGAAAGAAACCTTCAGGAACCTCCTGTGCTGAGGGAGGATGGAGATATGGAAGTATGCGTTTTTTAGATCTATTGTGACAAACCAGTCCTCGGATTTGATTTGAGTCACAATCTGTTTGAGTGTCAGTATCTTGAAATTGAGTTTTAGCACCGAACACTTCAACAGACGAAGATCTAGTATGTGGCGCAGTTCTCTATCTTTTTATGGAACAATGAGGTAACGACTGTAAAGACCGACGCTATGTCCAGTTTTCTTGATGTTAGAGGAACATGTTTTAAAATGTATAATGTTCCTCAAACGTTCTTTAAATGTAATTTTTCGATTAAAAATTCAACATGATACTAATGTTGATTTCTAACATTCCAAGAACATACAAATGTCCAGTTTCCTGAATGTTACTACACAGCAAAAACTCAAGAGTGTTAAGGACTCAATAGTGTTATAATTTTAACATTGCGTGTTAAATTAACACTGAAGAGTGTTAACGTTAATATGCAATTTAAGTTATTGATTGAGTGATGATTGAGCATTATTTACAAACAATTTTAGTCACCATTATGGGGATCAGTGTTTGTTTTAGTTGAGCAGTAGACAGTATAAGGAGTCGACAGAGCCATCTCACTGGAACTCAACTGAGACAAGTGAAGCCCATTTTTTAGGACTTCCGTTCCTAATGCGCAGACTCAAACTGACTCAAACAAAGCTTGACAATGTAGATGTGATGTGAGCAATCCGTCTGTCTTCTGGTGGCTGTGGCATGAGAAATCTGAATCATTCCCTTCCAAAACTTGCAGAGGTGGACAGTGTGAGAAGGAGCTGTTCATGAGCTAGGAGCAGGAGACACTTTTGCTAGGTATTCTGATTAATTATTTTGTCATTTGTCCTCCACGTTACCCAGATTGCCCGCAAGCTTCTCCTCCTGTCCATATGGTAATCTCTCTACTGTGCGACAGAGAGTTGCGTGGTTATGACACAATCGTTAGCCTACTTGCACAAAGACTGCTTCTACGGGGCCATAACATAAGCTACAAGAAAATGGAGCATTTTTATACATTGTCGTGTTTCTTCAGAAATAAATAATGGACAAATGGAGTCTTCAAAGGCCTCAGAAGTAAAGTTATTCGCTGTCAAAGTGACGCCCAAATGAATGGGAGTCAATGGAAATGCTATCGCAAGTGAAGTTCTGCTACAAGATGGCGGCACCCATCCAGCTTCAACTTCCGGTCGATGGATTACCCCCTTGGCAGTTGACCTTTACATGTTTAACTTTAGATTCCGGATGCTCTTTTATCACTTCCTGAATGTTAATTCCTTCAATTGGACAAGTTGACATAGTTGACGCATTCACACTGGGAGCGTTCCCAAAGCGTCATTGACTCATCGTGAGTTCCCACGAAAGGGAACTATATTAAACCAGACTGGGATAATGAACTAATGTGTTCTTCATGAGGAAAACCATATTGATGGATTTCTTTTAAACAGCCACACTGAGTCCAGAATCATCCTCACCTGTAGATGTTGAACTGGTAGTTGGTGTGGAAGTGTCCGGCTGTAAAGAAACTGAAACAATAACACATGATAAATCAGACTTGAATGCTGAATTACTGTGTTTTTTTTTAAAAATACACCAATTATGAAGGAGGATCTCTTGAAAGTCACATTTAGCCCAGAAACATGCTCACCTTCAGTAGTGGGACTGGTAGATGTAGAGGAAGTGACTGACAGTAAATGATCTGTAACATTAACAAGATTAAAAGAGATGCTAAGTCAGAATCAGATTAAGTGCTGTGTTCTTATTAAGATATTATTATATTTCAATACAGTCCAGTCTAACTGGAAGTAGAACTGGTAGATGGTGAGGAAGTGACCAGCAAAGAAACTGAAACCATAAACAGTTTGAAACACACATTTTCATCAGCTCATCTTTATCTATAGACACACAAACACACCAGTTCAATTCAGTGGTCCACAATTATTCAGACAAAACACAATCCAAAAGAGGAAACATCAGACTACATTACCAGCTGAGGTATTCTGTGGTGTGACTGTTGTGTCAGTGCTGCTGATGTTATTAACAGCTGAAAAAAATAATGACATATGAATACCAATGAATCAACAAACATCCAATTAAATCTCTATATCTAATGTAGATATAATAAACAGTGAGTTATTACTAAATTACATTTATTGGATGCTTTCGGTGCCATTTTCTTCTCTTTAGATGCACCAGTTGAAATCTACATTGTCATGGATTATTTTCTTGTGATTCTCAAAATGTATTATTCAGACTGGTTTGAAATTCAAAAGAATAGAATTATGCAACTATTTACAGTGACAGAGTATTTACTATACAAATCTGAACTTCATGCGGCTTTAGAACAACATGTTTGTGTGAATTCTTTCTTTAAACACCTATCCTATTTTAACTTTCAGAACTTATATGACTTTATGTACACAAGGGGCGTTAATTTGACACTGGGGATTTTGCTGTGCATTCACCAGGCCAGAAAATAACCAAGGAGACACAGTGTGTTGCATTACCAGTTGAGTTGCTCGCTGATGTAACAGCTGGAGAGCTGTTGTAGATGCTGCCAGTGTCTGAAAGTTTGGATGAATAATGATTAATAAACAGAAACACAACAATCATGAATGTGTAGAAAGAACTCATGTAAAGATAATTACCTGCACAGTATGCTGAATTGCATAAAGTTGGACTAACCAGCTCATAGACATAATAATTGCCTGGACAGGCTTTGATTTTAATGGGAAAAGATCCAAAAATGCAGCAGTTATTGCTCCAGTGACTGCAAACATCTCGAGTGACGACTCCATCCTCAATTGTTGGGTGTCCACCACGTATCCACAGCGGGGCAGCAGTGCCACACCTGTATGTTGCAACACATGTGTCTGGGATCTGAACATTCAAGCCGTAATAGAACAGACGATACCAGCCGCTCCAGGAAACGGAGATGTCACACATGGAGGAGGTATATGTGTAACTGGTGGCTCTCCTTGGATCATCCAGCACAGTGTAGTTGTAGCAGGGGTCAACAGAGAGAACTGTAATGAAAACATTAAAAATAAAGAAAGAAGACAAAATGTGTTGCTGAAACTTGACAAAAAGTGTTGCATAATATTCACGTCCTTGGATTGAATATTATGCCTTTATGGGAACAGTATGAATGGGAAAGTGACTCTGAAGCAGTCCAATGGTACAAGTTGGAGCTCTCCAAAAATTCTGAGTTTACAAATTGTAATTATAAACACACAATAGAAAAACACAGAACACATCAAAGATATTCCCCTCAGTGAACAAAGTACACAAATTCATTGGAGGTTTATAATTGTTGTGTTTTAATTGACCTTGATTTCCCATAATGCTGTATATGTGTGCTTTCCCTGAAAGTGCCTGAGTCACGAACAAACAGGCAAGCACTACAACCTAGAAGAAAGATAACTGGTCTATTGCATGAACTGCTGATTAACGGCTTGCTTAGAAAATAAGCTATTAGAAACACAATGTGTTACTTTACCCAGGGTTTCAGCGGGGTTGTCAAAGGTAGTAACTTAAATTATGCCAAATTAAGGCCAGTAAAAAGTAGTAAAAAGTAGTAAACGTCATCTGACGAGGTAGTAAATTTTCGAAGCCCCATCTAACTGGGTCTAAATGGTTTTCAATCAGGGTAATTTACGAGTGCAGGCCTATTTAAACTTTAAACTTACTAAACTTACATTAATTTATTTTGAGTCGGACGCAAAGACAGCAAAAAGAAAGGTCAGATGTGAGTGAACGGAATGACGTCACGCGATGTGTACATTGGGTGGTTCAAGCTGGTAACGTTACCTTAGCTTGGCGGTAAACCTGTGCTCCGCGTGAGTTTACCAAATAAATATGGGCAAGTGCAAGTTTTCGGACCTCTGGCTGGAGGACGCTCGGTTTAAAGACTGGCTTAGGCCAGTAGTTGGAAACAGTCGAGAAGGTTTTTGCTACGTTTGCAAGAAAACGATAAATATTACTTGGATGGGGGTGAAGGCAGTTAATTCCCACAGGGAGTCGACTAGCCACCAAGCCAGGATGCGCGTAAGACATAACACCCAGCTACCGCTGTCGCTGTTTTACACTGGACCAGCGGCTACATCGACTCCATCAACCTCCACTGCTCCCCCAACCTTGCCTGCTTGCTCCTCGCAGTCCACTGCCAGTAATCCTACCACCAGCATACAGTCGATCTGTACCACCACTGCTACGCTACAGGCTGAAGTACTATGGTGTTTAGACTTGGCAGTGAAACACCACTTGTTCAAGTCCAATGATGGCATAGGAGACCTGTTTAGCATGATGTTCCCGGACCATACGTACTTGCGTATAAAACATAAGTACGTATGGTCCGGCATGATTTATAGCTTCATCCAGTTGCTTCTTAAAATAGGGGGTGATGCCAAATTTGATCATGTAGCTGGTCTTGTCTTTGGCCAAAGTGAACGGTTGAAGCTATAAATCATGCCGGACCATACGTACTTATGTTTGATGAGAGTCTGAATGAATCGTCAAAGAAAAAACAAATGGACATACAGATTAGTTTTTTTGGAGGATGGCTGTGTCCGCTCGAGGTATTTTGGCTCACAATTTCTGGGACATGGAAGAGCTGAGGATCTGTTGCAGCACATCAAAGTAAGTTTATTTTTATATAGTTATTGGTTAGGGGCAGTAGCGGCATTCAAAACAGCGCTGTTACTAGTTTAACGTTACTATATTCTATATCAATAGCTTTTCAGAAGTGAAACTATTTTACTGATTAAAGGGTAGCTAAAACCTAAACCAATTTTTTTAGTTAATGATCTGTAAGAATAGGGCCTTATTAGTGCTGTTTATTGATTCGAGTAACTTTTTTGACATTTAAAACGTCTTAGTGCGGCCCTCTTCAGGTTCAACGGTGGCTACTGCAGTTGAATTCTCCACTCTCCATTTTAGAGAGTCTGACAGCAGGTCTCAGGTGCACACCCCCTCTATCTCTGCTGGGGTCTATCCACTTATCCTGCATTTTTCAAATATTGCCAGTGAAAAATATTGAATATTTTTCAAATATTGTGAATATCAGACTTTCCCTAAATTAACCTTTAATGTCATTTCCTTTTTTTGCCAGGGTGCTACTGTTTGGAGCAGGTCTTATTTTTGCTCTTGTGGGTTGAATCATGTTAAAGTTTGAAGCCATGTTGGTAGTAAGAATATTGTGATGGTAGTAAAATAGGTGTAAGAAGGTAGTAAATTCAATTTAAGAATCTCTGTATAAACTCTGTTACCAGTTGCGATGGTCACTGGTGTGACAGTTGTAGAGCTGGTGTTAATGCTGCCAGTGTCTGAAAGTTTGGATGAATAATGATTAATCAACAGAAACACAAATATCATGAATGTGTAGAAAGAGCTCATGTGATTATAATTACCTGCACAGTATGTTGAACAGCAGTAAGTTGGTCTAACCAGCTCATAGACATAGTAATTGCCTGGACAGGCTTTGACTTTAATGGGAAAAGACCCGTAATAGCAGCAGTAATCGTTATAGTGACCGCAGACATCTCGAGTGACGACTCCATCCTCAACTGTTGGGTGTCCACCATGGATCCACAGTGGGACTTCAGTGCCACAGCTGTACTTCTCAACACACGTGTCTGGGATATGAGCGTTCAGGCCGTTAATGAAGAGACGATACCAGCCGCTCCAAATAACATTGGTGTCACACTTGTAGTAGTTGTTGCAGTTGTAGTTATAGTAGTAGTAGTTGTTGTAATAGGAGTAATATTGTCTGCTGTTGGCTCTCCATGGATCATCCAGCACAGTGTAGTGGTAGCAGGGGTCAGCAGAATGAAAATCTGTTGTGAAAACACGAGAATCTGTTGCTTTAATTATACATTTTCGAAAAAACAATTCTAGTTTTGTGTGGAAACTATTATTTCATTTCACAATCTAAAACTTTGTTTATTTAAAAGGCATGCAATTGGAATTGCGATAATGAAACAGGGCAGGACTAGATTTTCTTGGATGGTTGTGGTTTGCAAATGGTGGATCTCATGTGAGTGCAGTGGTGGCTCGTTAGGGGAGTCAAGGGCAATTTTATATCTCAGAATGTGTATTTCTTGTTTGTAATTTCACAACTGTAAGTGTACACTGTAAGATATTTAATTTTAGTTTAACAAGATCGCCAGCTGCCTTGAAAATCGAAGTTCATTCAACTTGAATACTGCTTCTGTTTCAACTTAAAAATTAAAGTTAATGCCCAGTAAAATCCCTGGTGTTAAATGTAACACCGCTCTGTGTTTATAAGGGAACACTGATTGAGCTTTGAAGACACCTGATGTTAACAAGAAAAATCACTGAAGGAAAAGAAAAGAGAAACACAAGAACTAAAACTGACTTCCGGAGATTAAATAAACTGAAGAGAAAAGAAGACATTAAATTTGTGAAGATCTCAGCAGAGGAGGATTAAATAACTCCACAAACAGCATTACCAGCTTCACTTATTACCAATTACAATTGATATGTAGATGTTGATGTTTTATTGGAAATAATCTTTTTTTAATATATATTGTTTACTATTATGTTGATCAGGGTTTCCTTTAGTTGGGCAGTTTGACTCTAGGGGCCCTATCTTGCACCCGGCGCAAATGACTTTATACACAAACGCATTTATCATTCCTATTTTGCACCCGCGCAAAGCGGGCTTTTCCTTCCACAGAT